ACCTAACTCTGTCTTTACTTACTTTCAGACTATGCATTGTCAGCTTTTTCCAAGTGACTGCCACTCTCATTTAACCAAGTAACAATGGCAAATAAAAATCCTGCTGTTGATTTATTAATTGCCTTCAGATGAAAGGCAAGAATTATAGATCCAGAAATCATGTTCCAGCCTACTCCTTCTCCTCAGGTACACTGAGGGAATGTACATGTATTCACATGGGTGTGTATCTGAGGTAGTGCTAACATGCTAAAAGATTAAATTTGTATTGCATCCATAGTCAGCTGCAAATAAAAATGTTTACTGTGTAGGCTGCTCACTCATCACTTCACAATACAACTACTGTGACTCAGAGTTCTACTGACCAAAAAGAGTACTGCAGGGATGGGAAGACCATACTCTTCTAAATATTATCAACTGCAGATAGGCTAGGAAAAGTCTATAGTTTACATTTTATTCTGTAGAAATGTAATGCTGTGGTCTGTGTGCAGCTAGGAGTCCAGAGTGAAGCTCACTGCTTGAACTCTGCTGCCTACAGTCCTTGTTTGCAGCTTCTACACTATAACAAAAGGCAATACATCAAGCATGTCCCTAACCTTCCCCACTAATACAAGTATTATAGTTGCCACAGGCATCCCACTCAATTATCAGTGGAACTGAAGGTGATTCATGTGACTCAATGAGAAGAGTTATGACATAATCTTCCTTTTCCAAGAGGCGGGTGACTCGTTGGAAAAAGCTTACAAATCACCACTTTAACTGACTGCCAGGGTTCTTTTCCCAGCTCCTCCCTGCTCCACAGCCTAGTATGAAATCTGTGGTATTAGTGACAATTTTCTGTGTGACAACTTGCCCATCGACGTCAGGAGTTGGTGGGGTTTGCATTAAAATTAGCTGTGCTGGTGACTCCTCTGCTGAAATGATGCACATGAGGAGAACATAACCTGGCCTGTACTCAACTTTACTACCTTGCCTATGTGCTTGCTTCCAGGGGTTTACTTTTACAGCTCATCCAGGTACAGCTAGAAGTTCCCTTTCAATGGTTGTTGCTCTGTTCTGGCAATAAGCTGCAATCTGAATTGTTTCTTCTTAAAAAAACATGCCAGAAAAGATAACACTCAATGTGTAACAGGCTCTGAGAAGACTACTGAGAATTAAGATAGCTGAGTTGATCAAGCATTTCTTCCCTTTCTTGACATATCCTTTTATACTTTTGAGCCCCATTTTAAGTTAAAGCTATTGAATCGTTCTTCAAAATCTGATATATTTTTGTGTCATGTGTTCTGAAGGAATATTGAAACCCTTTTCTTGGAGAAGGACTCTATAATGACTGGATAATTTAAGAGATACTTAGAAACTTAGAAGTTTCCAGCAGCTACCAATATTAGTTAAGATTCAAGTAAGGAGCATATTCCAGAGAGAGATTTGGAAACTAAAAATGAAGAAGAAGCTAAAACAGGTGATGGAATGCAAAAGCTTTTTTTTTTCCTTTTATTTTTCTAGAACTGGGCAAAACAGTTGATTTGGAATTGTTTCAGGAGACTTTTTATGTTAATATCTTTTGCAGTCTGATGGACCTTAAACTATATCCAAAATCTCTAAGGAAACTATAATACAGGTCCTTCAAGGAATTGCTTTGCATCTTCTGCCCATGGGTTGGGCAGCTGCACTCTTTATCATGTGTTATCATAAACCTTTGCACGTGCAGTTTCTCTCATTCTTTCATTCTCCCATGGCTTGGGCAGGTGCACTCTTTATCATGTGTTATTATAAACCTTTGCACGTGCAATTTCTCTCATTCTTTCATTACCCATGGCTTGGGCAGGTGCACTCTTTATCATGTGTTATTATAAACCTTTGCACGTGCAATTTCTCTCATTCTTTCATTATAAGACACTGACACTTTTGCTTTGCATCTTCTGCCCATGGGTTGGGCAGCTGCACTCTTTATCATGTGTTATCATAAACCTTTGCACGTGCAGTTTCTCTCATTCTTTCATTCTAAGACACATAGCTGACACTTTTGGTGTATAATTTATCAAGCCTGAGTAATGATTTTTGGTCTTTAATGCTACATCTTGTGAAATTACAGCTTTATAGGAAACTTGTGTAACCACATGACCAGTATTTATTGTTTGTGAGATCTTACACCAACTGGAATCATCTGTAGCCTTATGTCTTTAGTGTTGTATGTCCTGCATTCAGTTGTTACTGATACGTGTGGTATCTAACTATACTTGCTCAGATCCCTCCCAGTACTGACTCTCACAACTGCAGAATGCACTCCAACCATCCACAGATGGCCTTGGCTCATGTTGCATTGTTTTATCTTGTCTTTATACATGCCGCAAAGAATTACCAAGCCTCAAACAACTGCTC